CCTTTTTTTTTTTTTTTTTTTTTTTTTAAATAAAACAGGGTCTCACTATGCTGGTTAGTCTGGGGTCATGCACCTTCCGAGTAGCTGGGACAGCAGGTGGGCATCATCATGCCCAGTTAGCTACGACTTTCATTCAGACACTTGTTTACTTTCTAAAACATTTTCTAAAGCAACTTTCCTAATGTATATTCCTTGGAACACTAACGTCATACAATATTAATAGGTATTTCGTGGAAAAAACAATTTAGGGGGCAAATAAGTTTAGCAAATGTTGAGCAAAAGCAAGTAAACCAGATTGCTGCAGAACTTCTCAGAGTCTTTCCTAGGCTAATGTCCATTTCCAAGAAGCAGATGTCCCCTTCACACTTGTGTTGGTGCTGCTGTGTTTTTTAAGGCTTACTTAACAATGGATTCTTCTCTCTTCTTGAACATCTTATGGGACTCAATGGTACCAGAAAGCAATTTGAGAAGTTTGTTATCTTTAAGATTGGGGGTTGGCATGGCCATAAAAGTCTTAAAGATAAAAAACTTCTCCTGGGCTTTGCTTTTCTCACCTGTAAAATAAGGATAATGACTGTTGGAGTCTGAATCTGAGCTGTTCCCAAAAGCTTGGTGCCCAGGAAGAGGTGGAACCTTAGTGGATGGGGCCTAGGGAAGTTAAGTCACTGGGTTGTGACCTTGGAAGGGAGAGTGGGACCCCAGCCCCTTCCTCTCTCTGCTTCCTGGATGCCATGAGATGATGCACCATGATGCCCTATGTCACACAGACCCAAAACAACAGGGACAGGGCCGGGGATGTAGCTCAGTGGTTCTGCTGCCTGCCTCGCAAGCACAAGGACCCGAGTTCGATCTCTGATACCAAAAATAAATAAATAAATAACAACAGGGACAAAAGGACCATGGGCTGCATCTCTAACACTATGAACCAAAATAAAATTTTCTTCCTCATAAGTTGTTTATATCAGGTGTTTGTTACCAAGAAGGGAAGCCAACACAATGAATTTACAGGGTTAAAAGGCCAAGCCTGCTACACAACTGGCCTGGAGCAAATGTCTGCGCTCTTCCTCTAAGGGAGAAAAGTCACATGAGCATGGAACGCTGCGAGGGCAGGGGTAACACAGTAATAATCATTGGAAGAAAGTTTTCGTGATCTCTGGGATTATTTTTAAAATGGAAAAAAGGAAGGGAGGAAGGGAAGAAGGAAGGAAATTGAACCTTCTCAAAGAACAGGGCCAGCAGAGTCCTTTACCTCTGAGAGCCAGGGGACAGGTTTGTTCCACTTCAAGTAGCTGCTGTTCCTGCTCCCACCTCGGTCAACTTCTTGGTCCTAGTGGAAGAATGAAGCATGGACTCAGTGGTAATATTAGGGTGAGAAACTGAGGGCAGGATATGACTCAGGGCCCCTTGAAAGTACCTGCGCGCAAGCAGAGTGTCACAAGTCACAGCCCCTGCCACAGGAAGCTCAGTGACCTAAGGAACCCTCCCATTTGTTGGTTACCCCACATCCCTCAAGAGAGCTCCTCCTCACAGCTTATCAGGGCATGCTCTTGTGGTCCATCCACGCCCCTGAGCCTTTTCAACCTGTCCTGCGAGGGGAAAAGTTTTTAAATGAAATCAGGAACTTCTTCCTCCTCTCTATCCCCCAGGCCCCGGCCCAGATATGTCACTCCCTGTCACGCCCAGCGGAAAGCCGAGAGATCCTGGAACACTCCCTACCGTACAGGTCCCCAGGTTTAGCCTTGGGTATCCCTGTCTGTTTTTGGCTCTGTATTGAGCTGGATTCCAGTTTCACTATTCTACACCCCTAGGAACGAATGGCCCAAGAAGTACTTTCAGGAGACACTCCATGACCAACTGTACCCCTGGGTGCTTGCAGGAAGGGGTGCCTATCTACCTTATTCCCTCTGGTTCTTAGCAGCAAGCAACTGGTATTGTCACCAAGGTATGGTCCAGGCTCTATGCCAGGAAGAACCGGACATCCTAGTCAACAGGCAGGACATGCTGTTTGGCTTCCTTCTTTGTTTTTTATTTGCAGTGGTGGGGACAGAACTCAGGGCCTCATACAGTACATGACAGGCAAGTGCTTTGCTACAGAGTCACAGCCCAGCTCTAGGACTCGCTGCTTGACATGGAGATTGCATTCCTGGAGAGGCTCAGACGTAGGCATCTCTAAGGATGTGGTAAAGGCAGAGACAGGACAACCAAGCCCGGTGTAGCCCAGGCTTTGAGAAAGGCAGGACAGCCATCTCTGCCCAATTAGCTAGGAAATCACAGATGCCACACTAGGATTCCACTACAAAAGTGCAGGTTTCCCTCACAGCCACTGGGGCAGGGCTGAGGGCCCACATTAGCAAACCAGTTGGGAAAAGGGCTGGCCTCGCCACATACCTTGAGGTTCACCCTCTGGGGACGGTAGAACTGGACATTTGGGTCCACAGCTGGGATGTTCCTGCTGGCCAGAGCCTTGGCTAGTTCTCTCCAGCTGGCATATCCTGTGGAAAGAAGAGAGAGAAAAGCAAGGTCAATATAATTTGAGGGCCTATACATCTGTAAAATGGGGGCTGGATATAACATGCAGTTGCCTTCCCTTCTGCTCCTCACCCCCTCATACACAGATGGGACAGGAGACAGTTATAAATTCAGCACAGAGCAACAGGACAGAGAGCAAACGAGCTTACAGCCCATTATAATTCACTGCCTCCCACAAATCAGAGAAGGAGCGGGCCCAGGTGGAACAGACTATCGTCCTCCCACTGCTGACCCAGTACTGGCTGAGCCTTTGCCGGCTGCCACTGAAGGCCTATTTCTCTCCAGAAGCTGCTGAGGAGAAAAAAGTCAGAAAGGAAATACACTCTTGTCTTCCAGCTCGGTGCCTTCCAAGGAAGCAGCAGGGGATCTCCACTGAGTGGGGGAGCCCTCTGCCTCCCCCACCACTCATCACTAATCCAAGAGTTGCTGGATAGAACTAGAGCTGTGGGAGGCAGGAAAGAGTGGGCCTGAGCCTTGGTAGTTGTCAAACAAATTTATAAACTTCGGGAAATGTAAGGTTAGAGGCCCCGCTAGTCCTGGATTAATTGGGAGATTATGTGTGACTGATGGAAGTCTGCACCCTGAAGGCCCTGGAACACGTGCGCTTGTACACATCTGGGAAGACAAAAGCCAAACCCTGGTGAGAGGGAGGAGGAGCAGGAAACTGTTGGGTGCACACAAGCACTCTCAAACAAACAAAGAGGCGCGGGCTGCACTGGGGAGGGGAGAGGCAGGTCTGCCTGGAAATAGCCCAGCCTCCTCCTGTAAGGACACGGCCTGGACATGGATGGTAGGCCTTGACTCGACAGACCATAAGCCAGGAACCAATTGTTAGCCATAAACCAGGAACCAATTGTTAGCCATAAGCCAGAATCTTGGGCCATCAAAAGTCAGACTGGGCTTTCGAGATCTGTTTACAGTCTAGATAAGGAAAATGGGGCGCAGGCTGATGAAATGACTGAGTAGGCTCACTTAGCAAATAGTTCCAAGGCTAACACTAGAACCAGTGTTCAGACGGATTTCCCCTGCGCTGCTCCTTTACCTCTGGCAGCTTCATCAACATGCACATGAGGCTGGGGTGTGGCTCCGGGAAGCCGGAAGTCAGTGGTTGACAGGAATCAAAAGTGTCACAGGATCCCCCAGTGGGCACCGACATAGATTTAGCCAGCCAACAAGGACACAGAAGAGCGAGCACGGCTCACAAGGCTGGGCCTCACAGAGGGTGGACAGCATCATGGTGCGCAAGGGATGCTTCAAAGGGGCGGGGAGAACCCTGGAAGGCAGGTGGGAGAATGCCGGGTGGGGGTGCTTTTCTAACAAGTTCTATTTCTCCCCCAAAACTAACACAGTGTTACGTTTGATGTGGCCCTTTGGGGTTTAGGAAGCAAGCCCAGGTACAATTGAGCGTTCGACGGTTCTTGTGACACAGGCCAGAGTGAATATCCCCGTTTCACAGGAGGGGAAGCTCAGAATCCGTCACAGAGCTACCTGTCACCAGGTTCAGGCCGGTCGGCCTCTGTCCCACAGTCAGCATCGTGTCACTCGGTCTACACTGCCGGCCATGGGCACTTTTTGACACAGACTCCAGTGGGGGCAGCGGCCTCAGCTGGAGATTTGCGCCTGCGGTGTTTCCGCACATTCAACCTCTGCAGATGCTATGGTTACACACGCTCTGCATGTTTACCCCCCGCCCCCTACATCAAGGTCTCTGCTGTCTTCATGCCAGCCAGCTGGTAGTCAGGAACAGATGAGCTCCGTGAAAGGATACACAATGGAGAGACACTGTCTCAGATGCAATTTTTTTTTGGGTAGCAGTATTGGAGATTGAACCCAAGTACCTGTACCACTGAGCTACACCCCAACTCCTTATTTATTTTAAGACAGGCTCTCACCCAGGATGGCTGTGAATTTGTGCTCCTCCTGTCTCAGCCTCCTGAATAGCTAGAACAAAAGATATGCACCATCACATCCAGCACAGAAGCGCACCTGGCTCTGTTTCTTATAGACTGGTTTTCAGCTCCAGGCCAATTTGCTGACTACTGAAAATCACACTAAAGGTAAGACACTTTACCCTAAGGTCAGTGAACTATCACTGTGGACCTTCAGCTCCCCTTGTCCTGGGGCACCTTCCCTTCTCAGAAAAATTTTCTCTTTGGCCCAATTTTAAGTAGCTCCTCTGAGGTCTCTATTCAGAAGACCTCCTCCTTGGGCCCTGTCCTAGGCCAGTCCTGCCCAGACTAGCAAGAATCTCCCTACCCTTAGGTGATCAACCTAGATATATCCGATCAAGTTTCTTATCTCCCTCTCCTATAGCAAGAATCCTGTTAGGCCAGTGCAGCAACAATGGCCTGGGTAGCTGGCTGGGCATAATTCTAGCACACATGAGGCTGAGGCAGGAGGAGGACTGCAAGTTCAATGCCAGCCTGAGGTACATAATGAGACCTTTGTTGCAAAAAAAATTTTTTTTAATAAAAAAAAAAATAATGAATGAATGACCACTCTGGGTGCATCTTCTTAGTAACTGTTTATCAGCTGACCCCATCTCCTTTGCTCTCTTGGCTATAAATCCTAATCTGTCTTTGCTGTAATCAGAATTGTGCTCAGTTCTATGTGGATGTCTCTTTCCTCTATTAAAATAGTATAGAATAAAATCTGCCATTACCATTGTTAGCTAGTGTGCAGTTTTATACCTCTGTCTCTCTCTCTCTTTTTTTTTATTCAAGGTCCTGCTACGTAGTCCTTGCTGGCCTTAATGTCAGCAATTCTTCTGCCTCAGCCTCTTGAGTGCTGGGATGACAGGCATGTGCCATCATGCCTGGTAGTTCTGAATCTCTTTCTTTGTTTGTTTGTTTTTTTGAGACAGGGTCTCACTATGTTTTTGAGACAGGGTCTCACTATGTAGTTGAGACTGACCTGGAACTCACTATGTAGCCCAGGCTGGTCTCGAACTCACAGCAATCCTCCTGCTTCAGCCTCCCGAGTGCTGGGATTACAGGAGTGCACCACCACACCCAGCAGTTCTATATCTCTTTAACAAAAAGGCTCTCACTGTGACCCAGTACAAATCCTATTTTGTGTGTGTGTGTGTGTGTGTATTCAGTGAAGTTAGACCTAGCCAGGGCCTGCCCTTTAGTTGTGTGTGTGTGTGTGTGTGTGTGTGTGTGTGTGTGTGTGTGTGTATTCAGTGAAGTTAGACCTAGCCAGGGCCTGCCCTTTAGCCAAAGATGCATCTGGATAGTTCTGAGATACCTGGAATCAGGGAATGGGTAACAACCCAGTCTTTAGCAATTTAAGGAGAGCAATGTTCTCTCTGTAGACTCTGCACATCACAGAAAGATAAGAAAGGCTCTGGAGTGCAGGAGACCTGATTTCGTGTCTACTGCTTATCAAGTGACTGCTTGAACACATAACTGCACCTCTTTGGCCTTGATGTCATTTGGATGGAGGGGATAAAAATGCTGGCCCCTAGGACTGATGTGAACATTGAATTGTGTGCATCAGACCCACAATGGGGTCTGACAGTCAGCAAGCACTTGGTGAGCATTTCTTCTTCCTAATAATTTTTGTGTTCATCATTCTAGATTCAGGAGTCAAGAGAGGTGAGTTCCAACGCCTTTGGGAATCTGTAAACTGCAAGGAGCCCATAGCACTTGGGCTCTCTTCTCTCCATACTAATTGGCCAAAGAATAAGTAGACTGTGAGCCAGCAGCAACTCTGTGGTGGCAGAGCTATGGGGCCTTTCCGCTTTGCTTCATGGGCATTACTTTGTCCCCCCGTCCTCTCCACAGCCCACACTAACAGCGTGTTACATGTCAGGCACTGTGCCACATATCTGGACCTTTTCTCCTCCCCTGTTTTGGCCTCTGCATTAATCCTGCCAGTGGATACCCAGGCACTCTTAGCCCCCTGGGGGAACTCAGAGCTAAAGAATGTGCTGATTTAACCATTGACACTTGTCACTTGCCCTCTGTAAGTGAACGCCTTCTGCTCCTGGACAGACCTCTTCTCCCATAGCACCAGCTGCTAGGGCCTGTTTCTCCTGCAACAGGTGTCACATTTGTGCCAGGAGACAGATACCCGGATCTCAGGTGACAGATAAAGCACCACCATGGGCCTCATATTCTGAGCTCACAAAGCTGGGTTATCAAATTCACCATCAGCCCGGAGCTTTGCCAACGCCCCTCCTCTGGGCAACACAGACTCTTCAAAGGCTGGAAGATTATCATCTTGGCTCTTATGTGAAAATATGGCACACATGTATCCCTCAATGCTTTTTTTTTACACTCTCACACACATACCTCATTTCATTGCCCTCTCAATTGCCTGTTAAGCGCTGTCATCTCCATTTAGAGATGAAGAAACAGAAAGGTTACTGGCTCAAGGTCACACAAGAGAATATGATAATTCACGCCTTAGGCCTGCAACACAGTAAGCACTTAACTTACTGCAGCTCATTATCTTTACCATTAGTCACTGTGCTGCAGACCTGGGCATTGCATTTAGCTCTCCTGGTCTGATGCTCTCCTACATATAAGAGTCATCCACTGGAAGAAAAATGAAATTTCTCACTGACCAGGCTTCTACTGATGCTATGGATTCCAAACTGAAAATATAGGCTTGAGCTCCTAACTTCAAGGGCTGAAACACATCAAAGCCCTTTCAACTTGATGGACAAGGGCTGGAGTGTAGCTCAGTGGCAAAGTACTTACCCAGCATGCACAAGACTCTGGGTTCCATACCCAAACAAAGAAATAATTTAACAGGCAAAATGTTCAAACTAAATTTGCATGTAGGTATAATGTCCTAAAACCTGTTAGTAAAGGTCCTGGGCTACCTAGCTGATCCCAACACACCAGAACCAGACCTTCTACAGGAAAATTCTACAGCATTCAAACCTCTACCAACACCTTTTACAAGGTACATGGCATAATATATTGCTTTTGCTCCAAAGTAATTATAAGGA